TCCAGCGCAGAGCCACAAAGATGCTGAAGGGAGTGGAACATCTCCCTTAGGAGGAAAGGCTGAAGGAGCTGGGTCTCCTTAGTTTGGAGGAAGCGGAGGGTGAGGTGTCATCTCCTTAATGTTTATAAATATGTCAAGAGTGAGTGTCAGGAGGATGGAGCCAGGCTCTTTTCAGTGGTGTCCAATGAAAGGACAGGAGGCAATGGATACAAACTGGAACAGAGGAGGTTCCACAAAAATATTAGAAAAAACTTCTTTGCTTTGATAGTGACAGAGCACTGGCACAGGCTGCCCAGGGAGGTGTGGAGTCTCCTTCTCTGGAGACATTCAAAACCTGCCTGGACACGTTCCTGTGTGACCTACTGTAGGTGATCCTGCTCTGGCAGGGGGGTTGGACTAGGTGATCTTTTGAGGTCCCTTCCAACCCCTGACATTCTGTGCTTCTGTATAATATCTACTTAAATATGAGCACTATGAGGAACAGTCAAAAAATTCTTATGTTTAAGTGCTTGACATTGTACTATGTTTCGGTTAGTAGCAGATGCTATTTTTATGTATCAAAAGAATGTGTATATACTCAATCTGTTGTATTGTGGTTCTGATTTTGCCTTTTGGCATAATTTTGAGGCATAAGCTGAAGCAGATGGCAGCTCATTAATGTAAAATGTATAAATGGATAAGCTGCATATTGGTCACTCATTTGTTAAAAACTACATACAAGTTTAGTGGTGAACAAGGAAATCAAGGGAACTATTTATATGCTTGACATTCAGACTGAGCAGAAGTGTAGGCATATTAGAGTCTTAGAAAACTTAAAAGTAAGGTGGAATGCACTAGATACAGAAGCTTGAAATGATTCACGTATTCTACTAAAAGTTGCATTCGCTCCTTATCGTGAAAATGTACTAACAGTCTGTCAGAATTACTGAAATATTTAAAACTAGATTTGCATTAAAATACTATGCTAATATACAATCAGTGGTAATGTGTAAAAATGTATAAATAGTGAAATTGATCAAGCTGTCCTTAAAATTGGTGCTTGGTGGTCAACGAACATTCCGCTAGAAGAATTAAATGAATGTCCAGAATGTGTTCATGTATCAATGGACTTGGCATGAGACAAAGAATGGAGGGTAGTTACTATGTGTATAAACTTATATAACCGATACTCAAATCTTTTGACAGAACTGAAATATGTTAATATACAAATATTTTAAGATTGACAAATTCTCAGTTACTTATTTTAACAATGTACTTCAATTATTCAATTATACATTTCAAAAATGAAATGGTTCTTAGTGCCGAAACACAGGAACAGAACAGTAGTATTTTTCAAAAATATAAAATCAAAAGTTGGAGTTGTACAGCATAATCCAGAATAGCAATTTAAAATTAATATTTTAGAACCTGTCTTTTGATCTCAATATGAGTAATGTTTCACTGCATATTTTTGTGTTTGTACATAGGCAATGGGAAAAGTAATTCTCATTATTTTACAAGATTGTCTGTCCTTTTACCACAGATGCTTCAAGAGGTACTCAAGGTCATCTCTGAACAGACAGCAGGAAGTAGCTCACTATTCAACTCCGCCTCAGCTCAGACTACTTGACTACTTACAGAAAAGAAAGGAGAGGAAAGGAACCCAGCAGTATGACCTCAAGATTTCTAAAGCTGGAAATGTAAGTGTTCTGAGGCATAGATGGATATATTTCTAACTGTTAAATTTAAAACTTCTAATGCATTAATACTGCTTTTTTATCTTCCAGTGTGTAGATATGTGGAAACAGAACCCTTGCTACTTGACTGCACCTTCTGAAGTGGATGTAAGTCCAGTTATTACTGTTAGCAATTACTAGCAAATCTATTGAATATTGTATTGTATGAACTGCCTAAAGAGTATCTAGTGTCAGAGAATGACCTTTAAAAAACCAGGAGTGGCTTCAACATTTTAAAATATTTTTCTGTACTGTAAAGTATAAACACAAGCTAAACTACATTGGAATACATTGCAATTGTAAGCTGGCGGTTTGGCTGAGTTAAGTGCTAAAGGTCTGTCTGCACTGTTATGTGTGGCCTCAGTGAGCACGTGTATATTTGAAGGTGCCTGATACTATAAAAAGCAGAAAAAGAAATGAGGAAAGGAAATTATTTTAAAATTAATCACTTCTCAGCTTGGTAGAAATTCCTCTTCTTTGACATGTTATGATACTATAGGGCATAATGTTTTCCATAGTTTCATTTTATTTATACGGAGAACTTGAAGTAGGAATTCTTCAGATCACTCTATGTGCATTCTTTGTTTGGGGACATTAACGTTCTCTGTTTCTGGCACATGGCCAAAACTCATACTACTAGCTTGCAGAACGAACTCAGTAGACTAGATGAGATTGTAGCTTTGGCCTTAATAGGGATGGAAGGAATGAACATTCCACATGAAATGATGTAAGTTTTTACAAATCTTCTCTCTCTTCGTTTAAGACCATTACCCTCTGCATGGGAAAGAATGTGCCAGTATAGGTTGGGGACTGACCTGCTGGAGAGCAGCACAGGGGAAAGGGACCTGGGGGTTCTAGTGGACAGCAGGATGACCATGAGCCAGCAATGTGCCCTCGTGGCCAAGAAGGCCAAAGGCATCCTGGGGTGTATTAGAAGAGGAGTAGCTGGTAGGTCGAAAGAGGCCCCCCTGCCCCTCTACGCTGCCCTGGGGAGGCCACATCTGGAATATTGTGTCCAGTTCTGGGCCCCTCAGCTCAAGAGAGACAGGGAACTGCTTGAGAGAGTCCAGCACAGAGCCACAGAGATGCTGAAGGGAGTGGAACATCTCCCTTATGAGGAAAGGCCGAAGGAGCCGGGTCTCTCTTTAGCTTGGAGAAGAGGAGGCTGAGGGGTGACCTCCTTAATGTTTATAAATATGTCAAGAGTGAGTGTCAGGAGGACGGAGCCAATCACGTCTTCTCAGTGATGTCCGATGACAGGGCAGGAGGCAATGGGTGCAAGCTGGAAACAGAGGAGGTCCCACAAAAATATTAGAAAAATCTTTTTCACTGTGAGGATGACAGAGCCCTGGAACAGGCTGCCCAGGGAGGTTGTGGAGTCTCCTTCTCTGGAGACATTCAAAACCTGCCTGGACACGTTCCTGTGTGACCTACTGTAGGTGATCCTGCTCTGGCAGGGGGGCTGAAGTAGATGATCTTTTGAGGTCCCTTCCAACCTCTGACATTCTGTGATTCTGTATCTTATTGCAAACAGACCCTGCTAAAATGTCAGTCCCCATTTTTTTTATAGACCCTTTTGAAGTATTGAAAGGCTGCAATAAGGTCTCCCATCTCCCCAGAGCCCTCTCTTCCAGGCTGACCAGCCCTGGCACTTTCAGCCTGTCTTTGTAGATGTGTTCTGTTCCTCTGATCATTTTTGTGGCCCTCCTCTGGACTCACTTCAACAGGTCTTTGTCTTGTACTGAGGACTCTAGAGTTAAGCACAGCACTGCAGGTGGAGTCTTACCAGAGCAGAGTAAAGGGGCAGAAGCTCCTCTCTCAACCTGTTGGCCATGCCTGTTTTATGTAGCCCAGGATGTGATCAGCCTTCTGGGCTGTGGAGCACATGTTGTTAGCTTGTGTCCAGCTTTTCATCCACGGGTACCCCCAGGTGCTCTGCAGGGCTGCTCTCAATCCTCTCACCCCCCAGCCTGTATATGATACTGGGCATTGTCCCGACCCAGGTGCAGGACCTTGCACTTGGCCTTGTTGAACCGCATGAAGTTCACACGGGCCCAGTACTCATTCTTGTCTGGGTCCCTCTGAATGGCATCCTGTCCCTCAGGTGTGTGAGCCACACCACTCAGCTTGGTGTCATCTGCAAACCTGTGGAGGGTGCACTTGATGCCACTGTCTGTGTTGCTGATGAAGCTATTAAACAGCGCTGGTCCCAGGATGGACCCCTGAGGGACACCACTCATCACTGATCTCCATCTGGTTATCGAGCTGTTCACCACTACCCTCTGGATGCGACCATCCAGCCCATTCTTCATCCACCAAACAGTCCACCCATCAAATCTATCCAAATGTGACTATTATTCTTTTTTTTCCTGATATCTCCGTTTTCTTTCAGGTGGAAAAATATGCCAAAGTGGAAAAGTCTATCAAGCCTGATGACTCACAACCAACTGTCTGGCCAGCACATGTGAGTAGTTCAGGCCTTTGGCCAAACTTCTCTGTCTCTAGTTAAAACGCCTCTTATTTCAATGAAAACAAACTAATGTGGCAATGCTCTTCCTTCTCCCAATTTAATTAATCTTCCATGTGTTATATAGGGATGGAAAGATTACCACAGATACTTGGAATTTCACACAGTGCAGCATGCATGTGATTGATCTTGTGATTTCCTCAGGTTTTCCAGAAATACATGGAAAAGCAACTTTTGTCTTCCAAGTAACATGTGCATGTAACATGCGCTATATAGAAAAGAAAGCATAATAATTTACAGAAAGCAATACTCTGCTCAACAAATTGCTTTCTTCACTCAGTCAAACACTGGTGGAAGAGAGCTTCTGTTAAAATGTTAAATTTTGACAGAGATTAAGCATTATTAAATACGTCTTTCAAAAAGCTCTTTCTGTGACGTTTAAATTGAACCATAAGATTTTTGGCACAAATTACATGATTTAAAAAGAATTCATTTAATATAATTAACCACAAATTCATTCATTCTTTGTTATTTCAGAAGCAGAGTATCTTTATTAATAGCATCGATCATGATGTCTTTGTAGTTTAAAATTAGCAAAAAGTAATACTTTCCCACAGAACTTAATCTTCATGGGCATCATTTTCCTTGGAACATTTTTTTACATTGTCACACTTCTTACAAAACTGTTTCCATGTATGTTTACCCAGTCTGCCTTTCCATAGCTAATATGATTGTTCAGGGTTTGCAATATTTTTGCATTTGTAAGAGATGCCAAAATGTTTTTCCTCTCGTCCTTTTAGATGAGTTCTTCTCGAATCATTTTACTTTTAGGTAATGCACCCCTTCTTATAGAGTATTATTTACCTCTTAACTGAGTGTTTCTTAGTGCATCATGTAACATTGGTGTATTTTACTAGTTGTTTCTCTTATCACTTGTTTAAGCCTTTGGTTATTTTCTTCTGTCCTTTTAGGAAATAAAAGATGATTATGTATTTGAATGTGAAGTTGGTAATCAGATTCAAAAAACAAAGCTGACCATTTTTCAGTCTCTTGGCAATCCCTTGTACTATGGTAAAATACAGACACTCAAAGGTGATGAGGAAAATGACAACGTATTAACTCCATCACAGTAAGTTACATGTTCTTTAAAACTGTGCTGTGATCAGACAGATAAAGGCAAACATTACTTGTAATTTTCAGTCATAAAAGCACTCCACGCCTATAGATCTGATTTAAGAGTTTTGTTTGAAAAATTTAGGCAATGGACTTAAACATTTTTTAACCAAAAAAAAAAAAATATGTTCAAGCAACCAGCCTATCTTTAAATGTGAAATCTGCATGCTCTTTTACATTAAAGATATTCTGTAGAAAAAAAATACCACCACCACCAAAAACCAGCCCCCTCAAATTGTGGAAACACCGTGAGGCATGGTTATCACCCTTTTCCAATGTTACTCATAATTTTGCTTCTTGTAAAAATTTGGCTGATGCTGTGGAAACAGAAGACTTGCTTATGTCTACCCTTTTGAAGAGAAATATAGGATAAGTGATGAAGAAAAATATGAGCTCCTAAGGAACTTTTTTTTTCACTGTTTTGAATCTGCTGTTGTTGGTTATGGTTCTACAAAGCCTGTTCATGGCTCTTTGATGTGTGCACCACATTCTTTGAATGAACCTGTGCAGCAAAGTAGACCCTATAAAGTTCAGTAAAGCAAGGAGCAGTGAGACTGAGCAGACTTTAGTTCTGTTGTGAAAGTTATTTTTGTTGTCTATTATGTAAATCCTGTCTTTAAAAAAAAAATCTTAAAATCTTCTTAATGCTAGAAATGTTTTATCCTAAGACTTGGCTATTTACTGTTTGTTTCTGTACTGCCGTGGTTTAACCTCAGCCCCACACTGCTGCTGGCTCAGTCCCCCAATCCCACCCCATCCTGTAGTGGGATGGGGAGAGAATTGGAAGGGTAAAAGTGAGAAAACTTATGAGTTGAGATAAAGGCAGTTTAATGGGTAAAGCAGAAGGCACATGCGAATGCAAAGCGATGTAAGGAAATCATACACCACCTCCCGTGAGCAGGCAGCTGTTCAGCCTTCTCCGAGAAAGCAGAGCCCCGCCATTCGTAAGGCTTTATTGGGAACACAAACGCCATTGTTCTGCATTCCCCCCTTTCCTTCTCCTCCCAGCTTTATATGCTGAGCATGATGCTCTGTGGTGTGGGACATCCCTTTGGTCAGTTGGGGTCAGCTCTCCCAGCTGTGTCCCCTCCCAATTTTTTGTGCACACCCAGGCTACTTGCTGGTGGGGTGGGGTGGGTGGGAAGCAGAATAGGCCTTTGACTCTGTGTGAGCGCTGCTTAGCAGTGACTAAAACATCCCTGAATTCTCAACACTGTTTTCAGCACAAATCCCAAAACACAGCCCCATGTCAGCTACTGTGAAGAAAATGAACTCTACTGCAGCTAAAACCAGCACTCATCCTTAGCACTGAGCTTCCTAGAACAGCAGTGCTAGTTTACAGTTCAGTAATAAGGCTAGGAATTAAAAGGATTTAAAGGTGTTAAATGCCTGGGGGTTTGTGTTTGGTTTGTTTTTTTTTTTAAATCACTGCTCTAGTCCATTAGTTTAAAAACATTAGCAGTTGAAGTTCATTGAAAGTTGGATACTTCCTCATTAGGAAACTATGTCGTATGAAATGAATCACGTAGAAGATCTTTGTTTGTTTTACTGTAAAATAAAAACAATGATTGTTTTTTTCTGAGCTAGAGAAACAGGAAAAAAGATCTGTAATGTTTAAAAAAAATCACTGAAGTAATAAGTTTCTGAACCATAAATATTCCACAGAAGGGAAATGCATATTTAGGAGTTCTGGAAAGTCATGGGGAAACAAAATTTGCATAAGTGAAATCAAACAATGGAAACTGTTTGTTAAAATATTAGAGGTAGGGCTGTTTTTGACATACCCATAGCACACACCTGTATTTCACTATAAGTGTACTGATATGTTGATTTATATCTAAGTTTTCCCTTTTACTTTTTCAAGTAGCAATTCTGTAGCAGTTACTAATTACATTTTTTCAAAGTATAAAATACAGAACTTCCATATTCTGCCTTTTTCTTTATAGGTCGTTGACTCTTAACAGAGAGCATATTGGACCATGTGTGTATATTGAATGTATAGTTATGAAGCCAAGTTTGTATTTGAAATACTAAACAGTATCCAGGCTTTTAAATGGATGTGGTCTGAAGAAGCAGCATTGATATTTATTTGAGATTTTGTGATTATAAAAACATGTTCTTTTAGTCCAAATCATGACTGAAAATGTATTCTACATTTTGCTTTTCAGGTTCCTTATTGGTTCGAAGACTGATGCTGAAAGGTAAATTAATGTAGTCTGTATAATCATTTGGCTTGAGGCCAAATAGTGGATTTTGTTCCTTTTAGCCATTATGGCTGCTAATGTTACAGTTACAGAAACAGATGCAAAACAGATAGGAAAATAAGAGTATTTAATCATCATAAGAAGTAGGGCATAGTGTGCAGTTTTTATATTTAACAAGCAAGGAAGAATAGAGGACAGCAAATATATGAATACAGCTTGTCCCACTACCTCAATTTCAAGAATGTTTTTACGCCTATTTGCATGATTATTCTTAATTACACATGTAATAGCAAAATTTTGAGAGCACTTAGTAAGAATTTCATCCTGACATTTTATATGCTAAATTAGCAATCATGGAAATTGTTCATTTAAAATTTAAGTGTGATCTAGGACTTAGGTACATACAACTTAGATATCCGAGTGTGTTGTGCATTACTTGGTTCAGCTTTCTTAAAGAAGCAAGTAACAAAACAGTTTTCCCATATATTTTAGTTGTAGGATGATTAGAAGTAGCAATTCTGGGTTAACCAAGGCAGTGAAATAAGTACTTCTTCAAATGCTTGCCAGAATGCACCACTTCAGACACCTGTATTTCTTTTTGCATATGAACACAGGACCTTTAAAAATCAATCGCTGTAAAAGCCAGTTGTAGCTTTGTGCCTTCGTAGGTGATCCTGAAGTGATGTATGTGCCACAGCTCTTACCCACACAGCCTCTTCTCATGTGCCTGGCAGGGAGATGAATCCTTGATTTGGTCAAAAATCAGTAATAATATTCTTTGTTTTAATAGATAATTTTGATCAAAAAACTTCTTGCTTATGTTCTCTCCTGCTTCCTTTGTGCTGCTAGAGACTTCTGCTGGTTTGTGCTGTAAGCTGAATTGGAAGATTGATGGGCTGAAAGCTAAAACAACAATAGTACCAGGGTCTAGCTTTAACTGGAATTGATTTCCTGATCGTGTTTGTCACTGGGCTGCACAAATCCTTGTATCAGGATACGCAGTTGGGTTTCAGGAACTATGACAAGAAGAAATAACGGAGCAGCAAGGAGGGCAGGACCACCTTTTCGAGTACACAGTATTTTATTACTCACATAAGAGCATATTGAATCAGTGCTATACCGAGCTAAAGTGTAGTTCATCACATTTAGGTGTAAGCTAATGGAAATACTCGAGCAGTTTTTCACTGAGGTTCAGTCTGCCAGAGTGTGAATGACAACAGATCTTCAGCTTGATTTTTCATGTCTGCAAGGTCACCTTGTATATTCTGCTCATGTTGTGCAACAGTATTCCCTCAACTTGGTTCTCTCGCAGTAGTAGAGATGTAGTGTTTGATTTGGCAGGACAGTATTATAAACTTGTTTGCCTGATGCTATTGATGCTTTAAATTCCTGGATATGTCACTGCACGTTAGTTTCATAGAGTAAGACTTGGCAGTCCTGGTGCTCAAGGACAAGGGATCACTTCTGCTGTGATACCTGATTCTTGGGTGTATGCTCAGTATGGACCTTGTAGTTCATCCCTTAGTTCATCCTTTCAGAGTCCTCATCTGACATAGACCTTCAAGCTAAAGGAGGATTGACTGTTCTACAGGGAACCTAAGCAGAGGAAATGGCTTTATAAAAGATTCTGGACCCATGTGACAGGAATGGGATCCCCATTGACTGACATCCTAAAGAATTGCATTTGCTTTAGGGAAGGGAACTGTTCTGTCCACTGTTACACATATTATTCTGAAATACTATTTCTTAGCTTGTTTCTTAAACTGTTTTGCTTTAGAAAGAAAGATAGTGATTAAAAGAAAATTTAAAACGGAATAAATTTGAGAGGAGAGCCCAGGAACATAAAGTAGAAAACTACTTGGCCATATAGATATATTTTATAAGTGTGCTTCTCTATTTTATATAGATATATATTTACATAATATCTACTTATGTATAAAGTATATATTATATTAATGTATAACATATACGATTATGTGTTTACATATGTGTATCTGTGTTAAAAATTCAAAATTGTTAATCATTTTATGACATCATTTCTTGTTTCAGAGTAGTGAACCAGTATCAGGAATTAGTACAAAGCGAAGCTAAATGTCCTGTGAAAGTGTTTCATAATTCAGGTGGATCAGTCAATCTTAGTCACCTTTCTCCAGGGAAGGAAATGGAAGTGAGTTTATCGAGCTGTAAATTTCTTTTATTTGCACTTGATTATTGAGTTATTAAGAGTAATTTTTACGATCCGCATTTTAAAGTAAAATAACTTTAAAAATTCATTCTGAATTAATTTATTTATTATAATAATTATTCAGTGTGAGTATATTAGAAAAGTTAGAAGAAAGCACTTTCGTTTTCACTGTTCAAATGTTGTCTTTTAGCCATGTCTTTGTTTTTTTTTCTATGTGTAATAGAATTAGCTCCAAGGTTTTGTTGTAGCATTTTCCCTGTTCAGATGAACCTTTCATACAGCGTTACAGTAAAATGCAGCTGTGTGTTTTGTTTTACAGATCAGTAAACATAGAAGCAGATGTAGCAGCTCAACTTCTTTTCTTTTACCTTTAGAAATCATTAAAATTATTTTCTCTTTACTTTGAAGTGGAAAACTTCTTCAAAAAACAGAACATGAAAGAAAATCACAAAAAACTTGAAAGTTTATATGTTTGAATGCAGCAAGAACTACACATCCAGTAGAAATTCCTGCATTCCCAAATTCTTACACCTGTTGGCATTGCTTTGTTCTACCTGCTGCTTCTGGCTGCTTTCTTGCTCAGATTCAGTACTCGAGCAGTGAGCTCTATTTAGGCTCTAGCTCTTAAATGAATTTTGTATCCATTGGGCTGTTTCCTTTGGTACATCTAAACCCCAACATTGCTCTGGAAGAGGTGCTCCTTGGTGTCAGCCAGAAGAACAGGATGCAGAGGCCAGTAGTTGCAGAAAGGAGTAGAAATGTGTGCACACAAACACACACACACGCATGCTTATATCTGCATATATATATGTTAAAATCATAGAATAACTTAGGATGGAAGAATAGAGCTGGAAGTCATTATGTCTGGCTGTCTGAGCCCCTACTGAAAGCTGGACCGGAGTGACTCAGGTTACTGTGCCCGCTTTTGAATGGGGCATTAGTCTTTATATTCAGAATGAGGAAAGCAGATTTTAATAGTAGTGCTCAGAATTTTCCTTAAAAGATTCTTTGGTTTTATAAGCAAGCAGTTGGAAACATACAGAGGGAGTGACTCTTATTACTGAGGAGCAGTGGAAGCTAAGCTCTCCCAAAGAAGTTTCCTAATGCTGAATCCTCTAACTTGTTAGCCCATGCACATCTAATTTAGGCTCCAGCACTGAAATATGCCATTCACTTTATTGTCAGCCTCATTTTCTAGTTTCATTATTTGTTTGGTGAGATGTTACTTTCATTTATGGGACATCTGCTTTATAGGTAGAAACACATGGACTAAAACTGTAAATGTGTTTCACTGTTAAGTCTTTCGGTGGTGTCAGCTATTGGAATTATGGGTTTAGAGCTTGTTGTGAGAGACTCAGAACTACAGACGTGATTAGCTGAAGTTACAAACAGCCTGAAATGTAGGTTATAAGAACAAATAAAAAGAGAGCACCTTTCCTCTAAAAAGATCAGTGAAAATCTGATCCCACTGAAGTCAGTGGGAAAATATGTATTGATTTTTGTGCATTCAGCATTGTCCTTAATACTTTTAAATTCCTACTCCCAGAATCGAGAAATCTGATCCTGTTCTCTAAATCCACCTTGGATGAAAATGGCAGATACATACAGATGGTGAATGAATGAAATGATGTCATTTTTCGAGACCAAATTCTCCTTTTTAAAAAAAAATCCATCTATCACTCTTGTGTTTGTGAAAAGTGCTAAGAAGGATTTCAGAACTGCAGATAGAAGGTGTTTTTTTAATTATTTTTTGCTTGGTTTCAGTTTTAACAGCACTTTCATGCTGTTTCTTGCTGATAAGCATTTAACTGAAAAGAGTTGATCATAGAGAAAGGTTTAGGTTGGAAGGGACCTTAAAGATCATCTAGTTCCAACCCCCCTGCAGGGACACCTTCCACTAGACCAGGTTGCTCAAAGCCCCATCCAGCCTGGCCTTGAACACTTCCAGGGAGCAGAAATACACAACTTCTCTGAGCAACCAGTGTCTCACCACCTTCACAGAAAGGATTTCTTTCTAATATCTAGTCTAAATCTGCTGTCTTCCAATTTAAAACCACTCCCCCTCATAATATCACTACACTCCCTGATCAAGTATCGCTCACCTTCTTTTATATGTTTTTAAAGTAAACAAGTAAATAAATATCTGAAGTGTTTGAAGGTAATTCTGTCATGGTTTTGAGAAGTCTAATACAAATGAATCGAATTGTCTTTTCTGTCCAATGTGTGGAATCTCGTATTATTGCTGTGATAGTGTTAATTTCTCTTTCTTCCTAGCAGCCAGAAAGTATATCAGGCTCTATTCAGTCTTCAGTATTGGGGAAAGGTGTAAAACACCGACCTCCTCCCATCAAATTGCCTTCGAGTTCAGGAAGTAGCTCTTCAGGTAATTGTTTATTGACTCGGGCATCTCCTTTTTATGTGTTCTGCCTGTTGTAAATGACATGATATCCCTTTTGCGTAGAGATGTAATAATTAAAAAAAAAATAATCAGTATCTTAGCTGGGGGAAAACACACAACTTTTTAAATTCTGTATATATTATTCACAAAATTACATCTTAATAACTACTAGAGTTAACATACTCACAGAACAATCACATATTTCAATTATGCTTTTTCAGGTAATATTTTTAGTTCACAACAGACAAGTGGCCATCTAAAATCCCCAACTCCTCCTCCTCCTTCTTCTAAGCCTTCTGGTCTTTCTCGGAAACAATCTATGGATCTTAATCAAGTTAGCATGCTCTCTCCAGCTGCCATGTCTCCTGCGAGCTCTTCACAAAGTGAGTCACGACCTAAATTCTCCATTAAATCTTAGGCTTTTGCATAAATGCTTCCCGAGATAAACTTCTTAACCTGTGGAATGATGAAACTTAACTGTACAGTGTACCCTAAATTGTATAAGTTGTGCAGCTTTAGGCAGGTCTCTTGTTCACTGTATGTATTTTATGTTTATTGTAACTGTGTTTGTTTTTTCTGTATATATGTATGCACCCTCTGTGTATACGTTTTAATACATTTGATGCAATTAGTATGATATCATTTATGAAAGGCTGGTAGATGATGTGATAAGACAAAACTCCAAAGTATAGATTTTTTTTTTTTTTTCTCCAGTGTAAAAATGGTATGTTAGATCAGTTTGCCTTTAAAGAATTTAAGCATCTGGTTTTTTTAAATGTTATAGGAGCTGGTGCAGTTGTATCTCTATGTATGTATATAATCTGATCAGTCCCGAGGTGGTGATACAATAAACGATAAGATGATTTTTTTAAAACACTCCTACACTGTTCTACAAATCATTGCTGATGGCAAGTGTGGTGGTGATGCTGCTGATGATAGCACCATATTCTCAGGTGTTAAAATGTAAATTTTGGTAATAAGTGACATCCTAGTTAAGTATTTTCATTAACACTGACAGGATCATTGTCATCATAGCTGTAGATCATAAATGTTTTTTAAGATATGTATGCGTCTTGAGACATTTCGTGAACAATTTTGTACAAAGAGAAGTCATAGCTACATATTTTCAGGTTTTTATGAATAATTGTATGCTGCACATTCCAGTATCCTGCACAGTATTATAATACTCTTTTTGCATTAAATAATTTAAAATCTGGATAGCTCAAAAAGCGTAACTTTTCTGCATTCTTATTTTGCACAAAGAAACAAAGAAAACTTATGGAAGTTTTCTTCTAACCTATATGACTCAACATGTTTACTGTGGCTTTGTGTTAGTGCTATGAAATGTGTAAATCTGCTGCACACAGTTGTTACTTTAAGGCTTTGGTCATAACAGCTAGACATTCACATTTATTTCCTTTCTTTCTGCAGGACATGAATGCTAAAAAACCCAAACAAACAAACAAAAAAGCCCTTCTCAAGCTTTTGGGCTTTTTTTGTATAGTCTTTCTGTTGATAAACTGTGCTTACTGCATCCACAACAAATATGGCAATACATACTACACTTAAGCAGAAGGAATTATACAGTAACTTTTAAAGATGCAGTATTATCGTCTGGTTCTTTCACGTTAAGAATTTTTTTTTTAAATCAAAATTCAGCAAATGGGAGTTTAGCTACCTGATGAAATTTAGATCAATGCCATGATTATTGAAATAGTCTATGTTCTTTGTTGAATCTGTTGTTTTCCATGACATGTTTTTAGCACGATGCTATTGTGCAGGCAGTGCATGTAGACTATATGTTTCAACATTTTAGGACAAAACCATTAATTAGGTTAAAATGGTAACTAAAAAATTGTTTTACTTGGATTTAAGTATTTCTGTACAGAGTTAGGACCTAATGGAGGATAGAAATCAGTATATGGCTTAAGGAATTAAGCATGGAGAATGGATTTTCTGTGTGATTATACTGCATCCTTAACAATGAGTGTGTGCTGCAACACTCGTGTTGTGTAGAAATTAACACTTGCAGTCTAAAAACTGGATCAAACTGTCAGTGCTAAATAAGACTCCATTAACCTTATTATACAAAAAGGACTGGCCTTTTATAACGAACTAGCACTTCTTATTTTTCTCAATGAGCAGGGTCTGGAACTCCTAAACCATCTACTCCTACTCCAACCAACACCCCTTCATCGACCCCACACCCTCCTGATGCTCAGAGCTCAACTCCTATTCCCCCTTCTGCCACCCCTACTCCCCAAGATTCAGGCTTCACCCCTCAGCCCACTTTGTTAACCCCATTTGCTCAGCAGCACATGTCTCTGAGCCAGGCACTGCCCGTAATGACCATTCCTCTTTCCACCATGGTAACATCGATTACTACAGGAACAGCCTCCACCCAGGTCATGGCAAACCCCGCAGGACTTAACTTCATCAATGTAGTGGGCTCTGTGTGGTAAGTTCTTCGTTATAATGATTTCTTAATTTGCCCTAGGTGGCTTGGTTATTGGGTAGAGAGGGTGGGAGTGGTACAGGACTGCTAGCATCCGTTAGGGTAGATATTTTTCAGGATCTTCAATACAAAAAGAGCATTCCATTTGTAATTGTGAAGTGAAAAGCCACTAGAAGCTATTTGCATTTCTCAAATGTAAGGCACCTAGAATATTGAAAAGGTCTGTTAAGGAAGACCTTTATTGCTTTCAGCTTTCTGGATGCATATAGTTTAATTTCATAACGCTTAACTTCATTTAAAGTGATTTCTGAGGTTTTGCCCTTACAAGTTTGAAAACTTGTTTTTATTAATCGGGGAGGAGGTGAAGTATCATATGCAGACCACTCTAAATGAAAAATTGAAATAGATTTGGTATTAAAGTGCCTGTGAATGAAAATTTTATATAAAATATAAGAAAACGAATCTGTTTTCTAACTTCATCGAACATTGAGGTTAAGTATTCTTTGATCCTTAAAACTAATTTTATGGTTTAAAAAAATAATGCTGCTTTCAAGAACAGACTGTGTGGTATACTGTGAACTGCTTTTCATACGAAATGGAATTCTGTGATCAGTGTAAGATGCTCAGTGTAAGACACATAGTGTGCTTCAGTGCAAGCATCAGACGCTTGAGGTACTCATCCAAAGTGTTCAGCAGCTGGTCACTGTTCATTAGTGAGATACTCTTTTTAAAGTGCAGAAAGCAAGCAGAAAACTATTCCTTACAGTTTTGTTATGGTACAACCATGCTGAAGACTGTTGATCTTTCGGTATTTCTAAAATAAAAAACCTCGTAGTTTATTTTCCATAGATTATACAAAAGAAGAACGAAACAGTATATGCCAAGAATTTGGATGGGCGAGAATTTAGTTGCTCAGATTTACTTGTGCCACTTGGGTTTGATGTGTTCTCTTTCCTCTTCTACAGTGGAGCACAGACACTGATGAGTGGTTCAAACCCTATGCTGGGGTGCAACACTGGTGCCATAGCCCCTGCAGGTATAAACCTGAGTGGCATTTTACCGTCAGGAGGTCTGGTACCAAGTGCGCTGCCCGCTGCAATGCAGTCTGCCTCTCCAGCAGGTTAGTGTGTGTAAGCTGAAAAGCCACCCTTCAGGTAGGGACAGTGTGAAAGGACACTGTGAGCACAACGGATGAAAATGGTCATTGTGGGTGTAGATTGTGGATGACTGGAGCTCGGGAAAAAACACACGGCTTTTGCACTGGAGTGTAGATTGATGTTCATTTCATTTTTGAGAAGTTAGACTGGGGGTACTTACTCCGAACCTGGATTGTTTGGTATACTCTGTGGGAAGGTTGAGAGAAATTCCAAATTCAGGTGCAACTTTGATAATGTTGACCACCAGAAAAAAGGTGTGACTGAACTTAGAAAGAGACCTCACTTTTTAAATGTGTGTGACATTTTATTCTAGTACTGCTTTGTTCTAGTAGGACAGTTAATTAGTTCCTTATTATCTTCAAATATGACTATTTGAATCTGTAGGCCTCAATATTCATTAAAGCAGGATTTAAATTTTTATTTTTTTCTGAACATATAGTAAAGAAACAAAATAAATACATGATTATGGAATCAGAATTATAGAAGAGACTTCAGTTTATCTGTCATGCTGAGACAGAGTCAAATCTGTCCAAACCATACTGAACCAATGTTTGTCTAAACTGTCTTTAAATACTCCTACTAAAGTAGATTCACTTCTTCCTTGGTAGCTGCTTGGAGTAGTTCATTATCCGTACAAAACGTTTCCTTCTAATTAAAGTGCATCTCGTTGACTGTGAATTAAATTGTATTTTTTTTCTTCTATTCCTTGCTGACATGAAAAAAAGTCATTCGCTCTTTCTCTTTACTTTCTTAGCATCAAACATGCTGTCATGTCCCACATTTGTCTTCTCTTTCTGATTGGTCGCATTTTTCAAACCTTTCATAATCCTGTCACTCTCTTCTAGACTGTCCAATTTGCTTACATCCTTCTTAAAATGTGATAACCAAAACTGGACACAAGCCTGAACTTGGCTGATTTACCACTGTGGAGCACAGCAGAATAAATGCATCTCATCTCTTTCACAACATTCCTGTTAACATTTCCCCAAATGAGGTCTGCCTATCTTTTATCTGTTTTTTTTATTTTGGTTTTGTGGTTTTTGGTGGCTTTTTTTTTTTTTTTTTTTTTTTTGCAACAGCATTACATTAACATAAGAATGCCTTTACTGGTTTAGGCCAAAAATTCATCCCGTTTATATTCTGTCTCTGACAGTTGCCATTAGAGGATACTTAGGAGAGAGTTTAAGATGAGACAAAAGTGTGAAGTGAAACATCCCTTGTACCCAACTGTACCTCTTCTGGCAATCTGCAGCTTTGAGACTTTCTCAGCTGAACGCTCTCCACCTGGATCTTTGAGCTTAATATCCCACGCTAGACTTCTAGTCTGTGGATTTACCTAATTGGTTTTTCAACTCAATTATATTTTTGGAACCTACGGCATCTTGTGACAGTGAGTTTTATAAATGTAAACTGTGTGAAGAGGTTCTTTTCTTTTGTGTGTTCTGTAGTTTGTGATCTGGATGATGCAGATATGTTTGTGACTTACTGTAACTTCTCGTGTCCTTTCTTGCTGTATAGACACAAAGCTAGTTACTCACGATTTTGTACTTGTTCATTTGTCACTTTTTAATTCGATGTTACTGAATTTTTGACCCTTTCTTCAATTTACTAGGATTGCTTTTAATTCTGATTCTTTCCTTTCAAGCACTGTCAACCTTTACCAGCCTTTGGTGTCACAGATTCTTAGGTGCTATGCTATTGCCCACATAACAGATGGAAGTAGTGAGCTGAGCTAGGTCTGTGGAAGACCTCTGGGGTTTCTGTTTGACAACTGGAGCATGGTATCAGTTCTGTATCCACCTCATAGCCTACTGCATGTACATCTTTTCTTAGCGTAGCTTTGAAATATTTGACGTAGAATCATGCCAAAAGCCCTAGAAGTCAAATGCATCTTGCCAGAAAGTCTTGGGAGGGTGGGCAGTTGGTAGGATTCTGGGTGGGATTGTTTTCTGTTAATGATGGGGGAAATTAGAGCCTGTTAACTTCATTTTGCTCTCGGACATTTATAGGTTTACTGTGCAAACAGTAAAACTTTTTAAAGCCAGGAGAAGAATTACTGCAGCACTGTGTTCAGCTCTGGGGCCCGCAGCGTAAGAAAAACATGGACCTGGTCAAGTGGGTCCAGAGGAGGCCACAAAGATGAGCAAGGGGCTGGAGCACCTCTCCTGTGAGGACAGGCTGAGAGAGTTGGGCTTGTTCAGCCTGGAGAGCAGAAAGCTCCAGGGGGAGCTTACAGCAGCCTTCCAGTACCTGAAGGGGGGCCTGCAGGAAAGCTGGGGAGGGACCCTTCATCAGGGAGTGTAGTGATAGGATGAGCAGGGTAGATTTAGGGTTAGATATTAGAAAGAAATCCTTTTCAGTGAGGATGGTGAGACACTGTGACAGGTTGCCCAGAACAGTTGTGGATGCCCCTTCCCTGGAATTGTTCAGGGCCAGCCTGGATGGGCCTTTGAGCAGCCTGGTCTGGTGGCAGGTGTCCTTGCCCATGGCAGGGGGATTGGAACTAGGTGATCTTTAAGGTCATTTCCAAATCAAACCATTCTATGACTCTGATATTCTCCACGTTCACCTTTGTGTAATGCATTAAGTGATTATAGGTTACAGAGTACAGCATTTAGCAGGGATACAGATTTCTTTCAGTTTAGTCAACTCTCTGGAACTTCTGAACCTTGAGCTATGGACTTATCAGCATTATGGAAAATGCAGTGTTGCATTACACATAAAATTTACACTTGCCAGTTTTCCAACTTCCAGATGTTTAGAAATAATACCAGTGGAAAGGTGTGGTAATTGCAGTACACATACATAACTAAGTAAAGACTTCCTACTAATAAAAAGATGTTTTCTTTAACAGGCAGCCCCTTTGGTTTGAAAAATGCATCAAATCTTCGGCCTTTAAATCTTCTACAGGTAATTGATATACTTGGACACAATAATAATTTCTAATATTTCTTTAGAGATATGTTTAGTGTTGCTTACTGCATTGCACCCCACGAATCTTTGAAGCCAGTTGATCAGACAAACCATTTACTGCAGATTTTAATAGCTTATTTTAAATTATTAGAATAAGATAAAAAGCTACTTCAGAAAAGGTGGAAGTGATGTTCCTAGCTCACAACAAAGCAGCTAGTTCTGTTTAAAAATCTAAAAATGCTGACATTTGTATTCAAGAGATTGTATTTTAGGCTTAATCTCTTTGCCTAAGCTTTTATTGCAAATCATTATTTAAACTGAAATGATGATTATTTTAAAAGTACAAAGTAGTACAGTAGAATCACTCAGGGGTTATACCTGTAATGACTAAAAGCCACTCAACATGCACAGGTAGGTGCAGTAATAGCTTTGCAGAGCTTCTGGTAATGGAAATACGAGTTCATGTAAGAGAGTTTAGAAGGTCTGAAAATGTTTTCTTTCCACTAAGCATACATACAGATACAAACCTGAGTAAAAGCTGTTAATAATGTTCCATTTAAAAGCAGAACAGGGAGTGTTTGTGCAACCAGGTGGTGTTTCCTGGATCTTGAAATTAGCTGCAGTTTCAGGTGCAGAATTGCAGCTTCAGTGTTCCACAGATGCTGCACCATGCTTCAAAAAATGATGACCAGTAAAAGATGAGTTGTAGCTTTGTTACTTCTTCCTCCCACTCCTATACACGCTCCAGAAATACGGAAAAGGGCAGACACAGGAGACAGCCAGAGTAGAGCTCCTCTGTAAAATTAAATGCTTGTATTTGTGCAATTCCACACTGAAGTACATCCTTTCAAGCTACCTCTGCCGCTCGTATAAGCCAAGAATAATTTAGTTGAAATCAGTGCAGTCAAAGCTGGGATGAGGGAAAGGAATTACGACTGTTTTACCTCAACATCTTTTTGCATCAGACCTTGCAGCTTGTGGATTGGAAGCATCTATTAAGATTCAGTGAAATATTCTGAAGGTGAAAATAATACACAGTTCCTTTTAAGACTAGCCTTTACATTTTCAATATCAATACAATTTTTGCTATTTAAATTAGAATAAAAAAAATATGTTTTCCTATGGAAATACCTCACTATAATTTAATGCAGGTTTGTCTTCTGAGCATAAAGGCTTTTTCAGAAACAGCAGTGCTTGTAAAATGATTCATTTTAAAGGATTAAAAAACAAAAAACAAACAAAAAAAAAAACACACCAAACCTCCAAGGAGTCCATCATTATCATTATTGTTCATCCTAGGATAGTGGAAAACTCAGCCGTTTAATTGAATTATGCCTTTTGATTTTAATCTTCAACAGCTCCCAAGTGGATCACATTTATTTCTTTTTAACCCACTCCAGCAGCAAAAGCAGCAGCTGTCACAGTTTTCTCCACAGCAACCGTCTCAGCAAACTACAACCTGTAGACCTCAGCAACAGGGAGAACAGGTGTGTGCCAACAGCCCTCAGTCTGGGGTACGTGGATGAAACAGTTTCTCCTCTTCTCCCCATCTCCACAAGTGAATGAGCCTTTACCCAACAGGTCTGAAGCAGAGGGGGAGGGAGGTCTTCCACCAAAACCTTCTCAAACTGCAAAGACTGCAGCGGCTTTGTTGCCATGGCTGGAGCTGGGTTACGCTCCTTTATGTATATCCTGTAAGAAGAGCTGTGAGGAAACAACTGGCTAAGCACTGGTTAATTCTAGCACCGAGAGGGCCAGCCCCTGTGTGAGTGGTGTAAAATCAGCTTAGTGTTGTCCCTGTCTGTCAGAGGATACATCAGATGAACAGATTAAAAACACAGTTCAGGATTACTACAGAGTAACTTCTTACTTGCACATGTTGTGAGTTGGCTTAAGGTCATCACTGCTGTAGTTCAGCAGAATTTTCTCTTTGCACCAGAGAAAGTATCAATTGGCTTTAAAGCTGTAATCTTAAGACACTTGCTCTGCTGCTGCCTGTAATTAATGTTAAGGGCTTTAATCACTGTTTTTGAAATGAGGGATTTTGGGTGGTTGGTTCTACCTGCGCTTACAAATTTTTACCAGCACCAATGCAGTAATTTGGGAAAACTAGCTGCTTTGCTTTGTGTTCTTGATCTTTTGTCTTCCCAGACATGCAAGACTCCTGTTTATCAAATAGTCTCTGCTGGATATTCCATTTGCTGTCATAATTTTATTTGTGCTGCTGTAGGCTGTTCATAAATAAGGTGGTGCTTTCAAATGTTTTTATGGTGTATAGTCTCCTGTGTCATGGGCCTTGTTCTGGAATGCGGGACAGCTTAATGAGAAACTTTCAGGTTTGTTCTCAGAATCCAAGTGTCAGTTACTAGTTGAATTACTTTAAAAAAATCATGCAAGCTTATGCTATTGGGCTTTATTTTCTAGATACTGAATTTCAAGGGTGTTTACAAAAAGGCTGATGTAAGCCTAGTCCTTCATGTGGCAGAAAGTTCTTCTGGAGGAAATCAATCTCTGCATTGGCTAACTTACCCTGAGGAACTTCCCTTACGTTGCATTGTAGAGTAAAACTAGCGTCCTTAGCTAAAAGGAGCTGTTATGAGTACTGGATTGCTTAGCTTTCACTAAGGACAAGAACCTGTTCACAGCGCTGTAACCCCAGTGCCTAGTGGAAGAAACTTGGGCCCCGAAAGGCCAACAACTTCCTGTGCTGCCAACAGAATATATACATTTTCATCTCATAGTGAGGAGTTTGCCCCACATGTTGGTTCTATGACTTTCTAAATTGTTCTTAGTCAGCTTCTTCAAAATGACAATGTCTTCTTAATGTGCAGTCTTTTGGTCAAGTTTACCTAGATCTCAGTGGTATTATTTCATATGTTTATTCTATAGAAGCATTGCAGCTCATGAAAATACACAAGGTCAAAAGTTTGGGGTTTTGTTTTTTAGATTTTTTTTCTCACTGATAAGCCATGCAGTTTGCTTTACTTGCATATATAGTACTGTATTCCCACACCTTATGAATCAGTGCATAACTTAAGTTCTAGAAGAGGTCATTATTCTGTACCCTTTGATGTCTGTAGACACTAGATCAGACTCCCATAATTCTCTCTGACTGAGAACTACAGTGCTGTGTAAACAAAATTTTAAAAGCAGGGTTTGTGGGTTTTATGAATTTAAGGAGTGCGTGGCACAATATGAATATGTGATTTCAAGTTTCAGACTTCATATTTTGATTGATTTAGGACTTTTGTGCATGGATGGTTTCAGGTGTTGCCTAAAGACCTTGGGGTTGAGGGTGGGACAGGGAATTGTCACAAGATTTTAACCATAAACTGTAGTCTCTGCTGAATGCAGAGAAGTTGACAACTCCATGGGACATCTGCTAGGTAACAGGCATAACACCATTTCTGCCAAACCAGCTGTTTCAGGGCATCCAACATCTGTTCTGCTTTTAATAGTGACTATGTTATAGCCTGTATTTACATGCACTGGAAGATGTAGAATTAAATGTTTTTAAATGGCACTTCCAAAGTCTGCCTTCACGCTGGCTTTATTTACTTATTCACTGATACCAAAGTTTGGTAATAAGGATCAAGCTTTTCATTTTTGCTAGGGGTCTGACCAAGGTCCATCCAATCAAGATCAGGCAGTATCTGCCCAACAAGCTGCTGTAATTAACCTGACTGGCGTAGGGAATTTTATGCAACCTCAAGCCACAGGTAGGTGCTTGCTGAGCCGCCTTTTGTAGATCAAGTGTGTATGTTGATAAATTCACACTAAAATGAAGTTTGGTCTTAAAGAAGTTGTATGTTAGATCAGAACAATTTACTCTTTATTATAAGCACATGAATTACACAAGAAATACTGGACTTTCCAGGCATGCACGGTTTTGCTTTGTTTGGCAGTTCAGTGTAGTGAATTGATAATATCACATGAAAATAAGTCACGCTTGATACAAAAATAAAATATAGGGAATTTCCATGCCAGACTTCATTGAGGAATGTTTAACTGTCTGCTTAACATCTAGTACGAGAAACCTTTTTGTGTCTCCCCAAACACTTCACAATCTAATTATATTCTAACAGTGTATGCATACCAGCTATACTTCATTCTGTGCTGTTTCCAATTTTGATTCTGAAACTAGTTCTACTTATATCCCTTTTTTGTTACACTCTGTTCCTATGTCTTCCTTTCCTGACTCTGACAAACTCAACCTGACCTCTTTGACCTGCCTGCTTTCCCCTTCTCCTTCCTTAGTGTTGTCTCAGCTTGGCTCTGCCGTGAACAGACCTGGGCAAAGCCTTCCTCAGCAGAGACTCCAGCTCTCTTCTGCCTTACAGCAGCAACAACAAGCCTTGCAGCAGCAGCAGCAACAGATACAAGTAATCCAGCAACTTCATTATGACTGTATTTAAAAAAAAAATTTGAAAAAAATTAAAACACAATTCTTGGCTCCAGAATGAAAAGTCCTGCCCCTTTGACTCTTTTTTTTTTTTTAAAAAAAAAAACACCACCAAACAAACAAACATCTTTATGGTCTTGCAAATGAAAAAGCCATGCATTTGGCAAACTAGATCATGAAAGATTTAAAATCTGTGGTTCTCTCACCTTGGAGCACTGACTTTATTTTCATTCACTTAAGCCATCCACCTTCCTGATTTGCTGACATTCAAGGAGTGTTTGTGGCACGTATCCCAACAGGCTCTGTCAGGTGCCAACAGATTTCAAAACAGCATGACTGTAAGCACCTGCAAATTGAAGCATGGCACTGCTACAGTCAGTACATGGAGGCAACAACTCTGGCGAAGCATTCCTTCAGCATTCTGTCATTCAGATGCTTTATTAAAGCATCTTCATCTATTATTTAGCACACACTCTCCTCTTTGTGATATACAGAAAATGCATACACAGAGAAGGTCTGATGCTAAGAATGTACTGCGTGACCCAAACATTCACTGAAGTTGCTGAGTTACTGCAGTTACTGCAATGGAAAGAAAGGGCAAAGGACCAAAAGCTGTCCAAGGACGTGTGAAATAATGTCAGCTGTGCCCTCCGCAGGCTTCTGTGCCACTGGTGCTGCTTGACTGTACTCACTGCCCCCATACATGGTGGATTCCTTTTGTCAACCCAATGCATCCTCTTTATTTATTTTATCTTTTCCCCCAACTTCCTCTCATTCTTCCTGACATGAAATATAGCTTTATAGTTAATACTAACAGGCTTTTTCTCCCCCTTCTTCCTTCGTGGCAGCAGTTGCGATTCTTGCAGCATCAAATGGCTATGGCAGCAGCAGCAGCACGAGCAGCTCATCTGCAGCATCAACAGCATTCAGCCAGCCACTCAAAAAGTAAAAGGAAAAGAGGCACACCAGCCCCTCCACAATCCTGAGACTTGCTTTCCCCCCCCAATAAAAGATTGATTCAGGGGTATTTGGGGGTGGGGTTGTGTTTGGTTTTTTTCAGATCAAAAAAGAGAAAGCTTAAAAGCAAATCAATTTTTATATTACCAGTGGGAAAATGAACTTTTGATGTTACACGGAAATAAATGAACTGGTTTTGGAAGCCAACCCTACGGACCTTCTTCACTTTCATCAACACAGCAGCTAGGGTCTCCCTTCCTTAAGTCACTTAATTTTTTAACAGAATGCTTTATCATGTATTTTTTATCACTCAGCAGCATTGTACATAGTATAAGGGTGAAAAACATTTTAGAAAAAATGAACTTTGTAAATGTAGTATTGGTATTTGTTTATTTAGTATAAAAGGTTTGTGAACACTGTAACAAATACAATTTTTACAAATCCATTTTTGAAAAGATCTCTCCTTTTGTTCACTTGGGCTTTATACTTTTTATTACTTTGTCTATCAGCTTCTTTACTTCTTTGTGTCTTGTTATTGCTCTGGTGATACAGTCCTGAAGCTTGGCTCCTGTCAGAGGACTTCCACCTAAAAATCAGAACGAACAATTTGATTTTCTATTTACACTGCAGTTACATATCTCTAAAGGTGTTTTTCGAATGAGAGTATTAAGAAATACAGTAATTGTCATGACCAACAACGTTCTCCTGGGGAGCACAGAGCTTCCCCAACTTTAGCCTCAGGCAAAGGAAACAGAACCAAACTCGAGGTGCAAGAGGAGCCATGTTCAAAATCTGTCAAGCTGTGACTTGGTTTTGAACTTCAGTCATGCCACCTTTTCGATAAATGACTTTCAAGAGCGAGTAATTTGCGAAGTACTCAAGCGGGCTGTCTCTTATCATACAGCACCATTTTGCAAAGAAAAGCAGGTACAGAACATCTAGGTCATCTCCATAGGTTCCTGTGTAATAAACATCTAAGTACCTGGTTTGTGTACAGAGCACAGCCTGCCTTCATCATCAGTCACAACAGTTACTGTTCCAGTCGCCAACTCCTCTTCTTCAGCAGTTGGATCAACAATGAGTAACGTGCTTGCAGAAGAAAAATACGCAGATGCATTAGTATACGTTGCTCCATTAACATTATTGCAAAATACACAAAAGTTACTAATTTTTACTGCACTCTCACAAAATACTTGTAGGTGGATTTAGAGCTCAGGCTTATCTGTTCTCTTACTAGAATGCACCGATTTATTTTTTTTTTAAAGAAAACAGAGATTCCGCATACTCAAGTGCGTCTGTCTGTTAAAATACTAGCTGTTGAAAATACAGTTTTATGGCTAAGTTTCACAGGTTTGTGACACCAGTGTATTGCAGGAAAATGCCATTAAACTGCCATTGGCAGTGTGCAGTCACTTATTTCCTAGTTACGCAAATACAATGGCATTGGCTTTAGATACAGGCTGCACTAATCTCTACCAGACCTTAGGGCAAAACTCAGTTCCCATGGTAAAATCACTAAAGTAGTTCTCAAGTTTCTTGTCAGAGAATTTAAGACCACTCAGACTGGAAATTTTTCCAAAATGGATTTACTAGGTCACTTAAGGCAGCCAAAATAAGCTGTCATGCATCACGTGATGTACATCAGTAAAAGGTATTTGAATCATTTAATAAGTTAAAAACAGAGGAAATCAATAGGAAAAAGGAGTATAACTCAACTTCGCACAACAACAAAAATTTGAACTTAAAAAAAAAAAGCAGAACGATCACCATTCAGCCTTAGTTTCTTTAAGAAAAACCAATAAACCACCACTACTACAAACATCTGGCTGAAGGGCAGGTATCATGACAGGAAAGACTATCTGAAGTTTTCCTGCAGCCTCAGTATACACTGGCAATCTAATATTTATCACTGACATAACGAAGCTCAATTTAGCAGCTGGAGTGCACCTATGCTAAGTGATGTTTATGACAAGTTTGGAGGGGGAAGCCAGTTAGGAGGTGATTACACAAAATGAATGGAAAGCAAATGGAATTTGTCAATTTGAACTCATGTGCAACGTGTAATTAAAGGCGTTCTGGGTAATTTAAAACTCAGCCAATAGTTTCAGATTGCCACTTAATAGCAATAGTGCACTGAAACCATCAGTCCATAGCTGTGTCACTCAGAAATACTGCTTTATTAATTCTACCCACATGCACTGTGCAGCATGGGCCCTTTCCACAGCGTGGGGGCCGGGCACACATGGTCAGTTCCATGTGTCAGACCTACTATTCCTTTACAGGTCGACTCCTCAGGAGCGAGCTGTGGAGCAGCACAGTGCTCTACACCAGCATTCCTCACCCATGGCCTCGCTAATCAGCAACACAGAAATTTTATTTATTCAAAGAGGGCTTTTAGGCAGAGGAAAAATGTTTCTACAACCCAGAGTACAAATAGGTAAAGTGTATTTTTAGAGGGTTGTGTCAAAAGCTGTGGAAAACCTAATTAACCACAATTAGGGAAAAAAACCCAACACAACAAACCAACACACACACAAAGAAAACCTCCACACAACACATTTGCATGTTACCCCCCCCCCAATATTTAGTTATAGGATCTAAAGAGACACCTGAGGGACCTGTTTGATAGGACAACTGGTTTCATTGATAGGAACAAAGCCCAGACTGTCACTGAAATCTTTCTTCCCAAGGCAACTTTCTTGGCTCTTGTTAATGAGGTGTGATTTGTGTGCAAATAATGTCTTACTGACAACTGTGTGCCTATAGTGCTATCTGAACTCCCTCACTTTTAGTCTACATCTAATACCAGTACCCTCAGGAACTGCTATTAAAGCAATTAAACACTCTGAAGTACTGATAACTTTCCGTTTTGATTCATTTTAGTAATAGTTTGGCCAACATTCGAGTTTAGTGGTCCCCCTACCCCATCTTGTATTTGAATGAAAGGGCTTATTAATAGTTTCTGAGAATACAGATTCATGTGCCATAAACCCCTGATGTCTCTAAATGTACCTAAATCTTATGTCACAGTCACAGCACTGTGAGCATTATCATGTAATTTTCTGCTTTCCAAATGGATACCACCATAAATGACTGCATTTCTTATAAACAAGAGAACATACTTAACATACTTGGACTAATGAAGAGTCAGTAGAGAATTTCAGCTGAAAAAAGTTATCAGATGTAATTATTTTGAATTTTCATAATCAGATTCTTCACCTACATGAACAATGACTTAAGAGTGCTCGTCGTACTTCATCTCGGGTAATTATGTTTTCAGTTATTCACAGGTCCTGTTGTTCTAATGAGACCATTACCTCTCACTTCTTTGCTGCTTAAATCTTTGGTATAAGCTGTTCAAAAACTACCACCTTTTATACCAGTTATTTAGACAGCCTTCTAAAACATTAACTGCTTCGGTGACATTCTTTCATACCAAAGGTACTGCAAGAACATAAAACATACCTCTTCCTGTACTTCTAGGCCTATGTTTTTGGCTGGGAACCAGCTCCGCTTTAAGTCACAGGAAGAAGCCAGACAGACTTCATTTTGTTCTGCGTCCTCACTCCTACCACAGGACTAACTTCAGGTCAGCCCAACAGGAGAGGCCGTGGCTGTAAGGCCAAGGGAAACAGCACACACCGTGACAGAAGTGCGGAAACATCACTGGTAGCATTCTCCCTCTTTCACTTCTTTTACATAAACTTTTGGGTTTGTAAGTACAAAAAACAATTAGGAACTTACTCGTCAAATATAGCAAATGATGTGGCAACTGGATACTTCCTGATAATCAAAGGGTTCTTCTGTTTTAAATTAACTTCTGATAAACCAGTTTCTTCATTTATAGTAACTGATGGCAATTGTACTGAGAGATCAAAAAATAACAATGTTACGTAATATTAAACGTTGCTGGGTTTCGACAGCCTGGAGATATCCAAAACTACTGACATGTTTAAGCTGTTCTTTTAAGTCACTGGAAATCGATCAGAAGAGTTTGGGCTACTGGTTATGGTTACTGGTATTCTGTACAAAAGAATTCTTGAATTCGAGGAAAGCATTTACCTTGGAACTACCCATTCAAGGAAGTGTTTAATTTTTGTCCTCAGGGTAACATTCTTCCTTACACAGAAGCATTTTCTGCTTCCAAAATGCCACACAATTACAATACTTTAGAGTCATGTTTAACAAAAAGCATTCTTTCCTCCCAAAGCCATATGAAAACTAGGAATACAGTTAGTTTCATCTCATGTTTGTATATCCAGAAAAAACAGTGCAATCCGATCTTCAGGTAACTCCTGCTCTGACAACCCATAGTGTTGGAGACAGCGAAATCAAGAGCAAAGCAGCTTTAGGAATCCAAATGCAAGCGATTCACGGTTAGCAAACGAGGCGTGGCTGTGAGCCTCCTGCACACAGTTATAACCCATGTACCTGTGAAGGATCAATCCATACATTGCATGCACAAAACCTGATTTTTTTCAAATTATAATGCATTAAGCTAGGAATATTCTGTTGAGAGAAATAACCAGTGTCCCCAACAACTTACTCTGCCTACATGAAATAATAAGACTCTGATCTAGGCACTGAATTTTTTGTAACCACTGCTGAAAGATTCAGATCTATGACACAGAAGAGCACGTAAGACCAAGAGCTATTCTGCCATAAAAGGGCAATAATACACATACAGAAGGATCCTGCTCCCCACGTGTTAAGTATCTATGGCATCCACACAGTCATTTCCACTTTGTATTTGCAATTTAGTAATATAGCACTTAAATGACAGGAGAAAAAAAGAAAAAGCAGCTTTAAGGAACTGTGAATCAGTCAATTATTCATCATGATTCAAAACTAACGTATTTCTCCAAGCAACAGTAATCAGAGTGAGTCTCTTACTCTAGAGAAGACTTACCATTTTTTAATGCTGCTAACAAAGCAAAGGCACTGGCATCCAAAATGTTCCCATCATAGTCCAGACATATGATATCACAGTATAACACCCAAGCAAGCTATGAAAGAAGGTTTGCACATGTGAGATATTACAGCAGCTAAGCAAATGGTGCAATATCTAAGACACTGGGCACAAAGAGATAAATTATTTTGAACATACAATTTTTACACTTCAGTTGTGAACCAAGCTATGAAGCCTAAAAAGCAAAACTAACAAAACTTATAATCTCAATCACCTTCTTTAACATTCTAACACTGTGATCTTCTTGGTATGCCCATCTTCATTTCGAGATATAACTTACCTTGCCGTTTGCAATACACAGATCTTCTTTCGCTATGATCTGTGAACTAAAATAAAATGAGAGAGTAAACCAAGAAACAGAAAACCGTCTTGCAGAGTTGTTCGTGTTTTAAATGCATTAAGATGGTTCTTACTTTTCAATCACATCTGCAATGAACTGGCTTGCTGCTTGAGCCTCTTCACCAGGTGGTCCAGCA